TAATCATATTTAGTTTTAATAATTCCAACAAATTTCATAATAAGAATTATAAATTACATCTATGTTTACACGCAAAAAGCGTAGAGGAGTTGTTTCCTTAGATCTTTGAACTCCTCTTCGCATGATGACACGTGCACATGTACGTGTGTGCACGTGGTCATCGCAAAAAGATACGCATAAGTAGGAGCAAAAGAACGATTGAATTCACGCGGGTGTTTGCATGATTTGTAATGGTACTTAATCGCCTCTCTTTGATTTCGGTCGCGAGAGCAAACACAGGTGCGTTAAAAGGGCCCCACATCGTACCTGCCGTCGATTTTATCCACTGTACCAGTATTCTACGGATTCGCGACTCAAATAAGGGGTGAGAAAGAGCGAAAAGGGCGACTGAATAGTCGCTCGAGAAGGGAACCCGTAAACTTTAATTTCAATGAAGTGTTTCAATGAAATTTTTCTATATATATAGAGTTCAGTAAATAAAATTAACAATTATCTGGTCGTGGTCGAAATAGAAATAACAATCTCAGAGAACTTTCATTAATGCTTCAATGAACTTTTCTAATAAGTTTCAAACTGTTTTTCTTTCAAATCCTTTTTATTTTATATTAAAGATTTTAATTCAATGATTTAATCTTTTATAACTCATTTAATTTAATCTTAATTTTGATTTTTAATTCTTTCTCATTTATAACTTAATGTATAATTTGATCTTTTATAGAGAGCAAAAAAGATGAATGAAATAGTTAAGTACATATTTCTATGCAAAATTTTTTTCTGTTTTTTTTACAAAAATTCCATAATTCTCTATAATTTTTAAAATGGGTTTTATTTAATCATTTCTTGTTTACTTTGATACTTAAATAACTCGAACCAGTATAGTACATCCGTTATTAACTAGACTTGTTAAAATTTTCCAGAATAGTATATTCTGCAGGAAAAGAGGACAATTTTCTATGAGGCCCTGTGTAAATACCGTATAGCCCACAATCGGTTGGAAGTGTAAGTCAATACTCACTTTCTATATATACGGCGTGTCTTCTTGGATCTATCCATGTATAACTCCCTCTTTTTTCTCTTTTTTTCTGTGTCATTCTTGTAATTAACTGTACATGTAGAATGATGCAATTAGTATAAAATAGACCATATTAAGGTTCAAATTAAGGTCAAAACATAAAACAAAATTTAGAATGTTAAATTTGAATAAATTAAGAAATGTGTGCTTTTTTGTAATTTAAGCTTAATAAAAATATAAATTTCAGGGGATTCCCCAATTTGCAATTGCTAATCACTTAAAACTATTGCTTTTTGGACAAAATCAAGACTTTGGAGAAAACAAAAAATTGAACAGATAGAACACCCTGTATATATCGATGACAAATTTTAAAAAAGCTAACCGAAAACATGATCCCACACATCTTGCTGATGTACAATAATAGTAGTGTTAGTGATGCATCGTGCTCGTGTGGTTGACTTCCTCTTCCTGTGTCCACATATCGGAACTACGCAGTCAGGTGTCCGGTCTGTTCTCGCCATTCGGTACTCGCGATTACGATGGATACTTGATATTCGGATGAACATTCATCATTCGTGATAGTCAATGATGAAGAACACAAGTTGATAATAAATTTTATGTATATATATATATGCCTATAAATAAAAAACACATTCCATTGGAACATATTTCTATGATATAATATTATTATATTATTAATAATCATATTTCACATTATGTGTGTAAATCTTTTTATTCTTATTTAATATATATTATTTAATAAAATGTATGTGCAAGTATATATATAAAATATTTTACATATACAGGCGCGCAGATATATGCCTAAAATTTGTATAATATATATAAAATAAATATAAAAAATATTAAATATTAAATGATGAATAAAAAGGATGTATATAGAATATATTTTCATATTATTTATTAAAATGTATCTCTTTATATATATTAGATATAAAATAAACTTAGATTATATGTAAATTAATTTTTAACATTTTTTAATTTTCATAATTTACGTTTTTTTAAATCTTATGTCGAAGATACACGATAAGATTGAATTGTTGTTAAAGTAATAAATTTTTCAGGAAAGTGACACAAGATCTTCGCGCAACGAGAGGAACGCGTATTTTCGCACACGGGTTCACCGTTGACTGGTCAATATCCACGAAAAGGAAGGCATTACAAGCCGATGATTTCGGGAAGGGTATCGGAGAGCAGGACCACCGTGATCGGGGCGCGCGGTAATGGTATCTCGAGAAAATATAATACCTCCCTTCTCCAGACAGCTCTAGGACATATCATCGGTATAACCGTAGCGCGAGGAAGATCGCCGATCATCGATGATCGCCGAATGAACGATTAGTATCCTGTGTCATCGTACAACGCGTGTTATTCGACATTCACAGTGGCGGCGAGACTGAACTGGACATGATGAAAAGTATTCCTTATTAAAATCTGAAGATAGGTATAAAGTTGATATAAAATTTCTCATTCCCATACATGTATGATAAGATTTTTCTATTTCTGATTAGAGAAATGTGATTTTCTAGAATAATTTCTATAGAATGATAAAAAATATTCAACATACTGTCCTGCCATTGCACTGCCCTCGCACGTCACTTTTACTCACGTATAGGGATACGTAAGATCCAATGATGAGATACATGGTATATCGGTTGGTGGAAGAAGAAATGGCGAAGAAGAGAAAGAGAGACGAAAACAGAGAGACCAGGGGAGGGAAAAAAGGGATAGAGAGCAGTAGAGTGGGGTCGCGGATGGTATGTACGTAGTTAGTGAGTCGCTTTAAGGGGTGAGAGAATGGGTGGAGGATAGGTGGTAGATCGCTAGTTAGCCAAGAGACATTGACATGCCATCCCGCCAGCATGGCAGTAAGTGTCTCCAAAAGTCGCACGCCGTCGCGTTAAACTTTACTTGTTCGAAATTGATTTGTTCAAAATTTATAAGTGATTCAAAGTGAAAAATCGTCTACAATGTGAGACTTATCAGTTCGATCAAATAACTCGTCAAAAATAATTCAATTGGGAGTGATAATCAGCTGGAAGAACAAGTGATGATAAGAATAAATTCTAATATCATTAAGAATACAAAGATTATTGCAATGTGATTATCTCCACGTGATCCAAGATCAAATTAAAACTGTAATTAGAAGAATGCGAGAAAAATTTATAAAAATTGTAAAATGAACAAATATTAATTTAAATAATTAAAATATAACAACAAATAATAAACAAGTTAATTTAGTTTAAACCATAGGTATTTTAGATTTTTGTTTAGATTTCAGTTTTCTTGAGAATGTTGCAAGAATACACAATATATTGTAAAAAATCGCACGAATATTCAAAATATAGTAAAAAGGAAATATATTTCTTTTGCTTAAAACATATGTATCACGGTTAAAGTGTGTTGGTATAGTTCATTTTTGAAGAAACTCTATACTATATGGTAAAAGCGAGAGTGATTTTTTTGTGATGATTAAAGCAGAAAGCGAGATCGACTGTAAGAATAAAAATTCCGAAGAATACTGGCTGATGTAAAAGATCATATGGGAAGATGGAGGCATCGCGGTGTTGTGAATGGGAATATCCGACGACAGGTTTTCTACAGAAGCCTCTAGCGGGGATTGGCAGGTCTTCCAAGCCATAAAGGTACGTCTATACGCGCGTAGCGAGCCGTATGCACGTGCATTTTCCTTCTTCATTCGGTCATTCATAAAAAGTCATTCATCGATTCATCTGCTTGATTTTCGCCGCTTTCCGGTTTTACGACAGTGTGTCATGCTCATCACATAAATTTATAATACATATACAAATCACTTAATACTAAAAGAGTATTGCAATTTTATGCAAAACGAAATTTACAGAAAGTTTGAAGAAAGAAAGAATGTTGCTTTATATTTAAGAATGGAAAGCTCGTGGAAATCAAACTAAAAAGATCGATATATATCAAGCAGCACAATTTTATATATTTTTATGTTCAGTCTCCTAAAGGAAAATAAAAAAAAATTTATTACAGATATTTTGAATTTTCAGAAAATTAAAGAGAGAGAAAGAGAGAATGACATTTTATATTAGAAAAAAAATTTTTTACGTATAAGAAATTAAAATACATGTATATGTATTAATAATTATTATACATAATGTATATGATTTAACCCCCAACTTCTCGCAGACTTTAAAAATTCATTGTACTTATCTCCAATAGAATCTCTTTGCAACATGCGTTTGATGAACTCATGTAATTAAACGTGATTAGAAAATTATTTTCCAATAAAAAAACAGTTACATTGAAACAATCACAAAGTTTCAGAGAAATTCTATCTCTTAAACTTATTTCTTCAAAAGATACATGATATCAGACTTGTCGAATCTATGTGACTCTCTCTCTCTCTCTCTCTCTCTCTCTCTCCCTTTCCTTATGATAAATTAATACCTCGTTCAGAAAAAGATTGCAATAGTTGTAATTTTAATTAGTCATATCGTAATCAGCGGCGTATAAGAATCAACTTTCATAGAAAAAAAAAACTTATTTAATCTTTTTTAATAATATTCCCGCAAAATATCAAAAAATGCAACGATCAAAGAAGTTTAATCTTGAGTTCACTTCGGTATATTCTCGAATTTTTCCATTTACGAGTTCAATGATTTGACCAAAAGATCTTTAATTTTGCAACGACAAAACCAATATTTTTATGTAGCAATAAAATCAGAATATGCATTTCGAAGTCAATTTTATTTTTCGAAAGAAAACTAATTTTTATAGAAAATGCGTAATCTCAATCGAATTTCGTGAATTCTTCCATAATTTTCGCAATATATTTGATAAAATTGATACGGCACGCGTTTAACGAAACAATCAAAATATTCCTTAACCACCCACCACACTCACTTTTACATCTACCTTGTGTAGCAAAAAAAAAAAAAAAAAAAAAACAGCATCGATGGCGAACGGCGGTTCGCGGTGAAGCTGCGCGTCGTTACCAGGACGACCAGAGAGGGTTGGACCGACAGCAGCGCGTCTCCATAGGGAGAGGAGGCCGAGGGTTGCGAAGAGGAAGGGTGGACAGGCGGGTGCAGGGGTGTACATCCAGGGGATAGGCCGCTGTCGGAAATTTCGCAGAGATGGAGTTTCTACAGAATCATCACGCGGTTAACACCTCCGAGTCGCCGTATACCCTCGGTACAGGTGAGATCTGGGGTTTTCAGCATCCCGTGACAACATTGACATTAAGGACGACGTAAGGAAGACGGGACACGATAGTTTTGCACAGTGCAAAATCGAACTGGATTTAATCGCAACACATCTTTCGATCGACAGCCGCGGTAGTTTGAAAATTGTACAAAATTAATATACAGTTGATTTTTTTATTTATTGTATCGCTCTATATATAAAATGTTAAATATTTCAAGAGTTTCGGTGTTGTATCTGATATCTCATAAAATTACACTTTCTGACGTTCAAGTATTTTACACGTTAAAAAGTGATGAATTATCCACCAAAGTATGTGTCAATTTGTGCGATATTTGTATTTGCACAATTCCACAAAAAAAAAAAAAAAAAAAATCGGGGGGGGGTGAACGACACAAGTGTCAACGTCTTGGATTATTCTAATCAACTGATTCTGATGACGGTCTCTCTGTCCTTTATTCGTCGCGATCAGAGAACAGTTTGAAACACACCTGATATGCACAATTTAGAAACTTTTATCAGATCGTTAAATTTAACTCCTTTAAAAATGATTTTTTAACGTTTTAATTGTCTTAAACTAAATAGTCATTCTATCAACTAATAATCATCCGTTCCAGTAAAGTTCATCGTTTCCTGAATCTTTAGGTTCCGTCGGCAGCATCGAGGCGACCATCTCATCCAGCCTCTGTTCTGGACCGCTGGGCGTTCTCGCGGGCGACGAC